GCGCTCTCCCCTCGCTTACTAAGGGCGCGAAAACCCTGCGCCCGGCCCTTTCGGCTGTTCCTGCAGCCATTTTGAAGCCGCAGAACAGCTGATCGCAGCCATTTTCGTGCCCTCGTTCAGCGAGGGGAGGGCGCGAAAATGGCTGCCGGACCCCAGAAGCATCGCTGAACGTTGAGTTTTCAGCCGATTTGGAACGCATTAAACAATGTTTAATGTGTTCCAATGGGCTTTTCTGCCCCGCTCAGCGATGTTTCACACTGCGAGGGTTAATCCGGGACGGATTAACCTCGCTGTGCGAGGCACCACTGTACAGTGGTGCCTCACAAGACAATGTTAATTCGTTCCGCAAAATACGCTGTCTTGCGGAACGCAGTTCCCCGTTGGAATGTACTGAAATCTATTTAATGCGTTCCAATGGGGAAAAATCGGCATCTTGCGAAAATTGTCCATAGAAAACATCGTCTTGCGAAGCGCAACAGCGATCACAAAAACCAATTGTCTTGCGGATTAATCGTCCTGTGATACAATTTTCTTGCGAGACACCACTGTAGCTACAGTACTTTTAAAGAAGATAGTGTATTCTTGCACGTATGTGTGCAAAAGTCATGGAAGCTGCTTGATTAAAAGGCTGTAGGAAAGTTTTAAAATCTTAGGCCAGTGATGGTGAACCTTTTTGAGCCTTAGTGCCCAAACTGCAACACAAAATCAACCTATTTCAAAGTGCCAACACTGTAATTTAAACCCAAATACTGGGTTTTAGTTTAGAGAAAACAACTGCTCCTGCACTGCAAGGGTTAAATGCTTGCTTTCCCGCCCCCATGGGCGTTATTAACAAAGAAATACTTACTGGTCCTCCAATCCCCCATTGGGCTAAACCAGTAATGGTCGTATTGCACTCCTCCACTGGACCACTGCACCAGCAGAGGGGAGTGCCAAAATCCGGGATCAGAGGACAGGTAAGTATTTCTCGATGGTGACTTATGGCTCAGTTGCCCACAGAGAGGGATCTGTGTGCCAGCTGTGGCATGCATGCCATAGGTTCGCCATTGCTGTCTTAGGCCATTGTTTTAGATTCGGACATGACTTATGGGAACAAAAATAACACATGCAAATTCCAAGAATGAAATCACAAGAGCCATCAAACTGAGGAAAGAACACCAAACTGAAGAAAAACAGCCACCCACAAATAAAGTATTTCTGCCATACATCAAAGGGAACATGGAACACATGGGGAAGCTTTTGAAAAACATATTTCCCTAAAGTCCAGGGGAAAAGGCACAGGCTGCCAACTATACCTGCCCAGCTGTCTATCCATGGGTTTTACTCTGCCCTATACTTGTAAACAGCCATGCTAGCACCAGAAAAGTAGGGTTGATTGTCTGAAACAAAAATTTTGAAATGTATTTCGTAAATAGAATTGCATCCTAAATGATTCTTTCCTCTTTTGTTGTTGTTGGGAAAAAAATTAAACATAGTGAGTTTGTCTAGTAGTCTGGGAGGAACTCTGGCTCTCTGATGGGGTCGGCTACTACACACATGCTCATGAAGCCACCTACAAGGGTTGATGGAATAGTGGAGAGTTGTGGCATGGCGGAAAAACAGAAAAATTCAGAAGGACTGCTGAACATAAGGTGGAGCATGCTGTTTTTGGTTACTGTAGGTTTTTCGGGCTGTTTGGCCGCGTTATGAAGGTTTTTCTTCCTAACGTTTCGCCAGTCTCTGTGGCTGGCATTTTCAGATGACAGGAGTAAGAACGTCTCCTGTGTTCTGGTGTAGCGTGTGGGATAGTTGAGTATTTGTAGCTGTGGGATCAGTTTTTTGTCCTTTTCAGGAGATTGGATGATTGTGATGATCAGGGTGTTTTTTGTTATGGGTATATTGTTGTGGCAAGAGGGGAAGATAATCTGTCACTGTGATTGATAGGTGCCATTAGCTAGTCTTTTGTGTGCAGTGATCACTGGTCCTTGTGGCTAGGTAGAATTTGTTGACCTTTCGCAGGCTGTATTTTTCAGTGTTGGGAGCCAGGCTTTGTTGAATTTTAGACTTTCTTCATATTTGTTGAAGCTCTGGTAGTGTTTGTGGATTTCAATGGCTTCCCTATGTAGTCTAACATAAAGATTGCTGGTGTTGTCCAGTACTTCTGTATTTTAAAATAGAATTTCATGCCCAGCTTGTTTCATGGCATGTTCAGCTACCGCCGATATTTCTGGCTGTTTCAGTCTGCAGTGTCTCTCATGTTCTTTGATTCTGGGGTGGATGCTGCGTTTTGTGGTCCCACTATATGCCTGGCCACAACTGCAAGGTATCTGGTATACCCCTGCAGGGGTGAGGGGGTCCCTTCTGTCTTTTGCCAACTGAAACATCTGTTGTATTTTTGTGGTGGGCCTGAATACTGTTTGTAGGTTCTGTTTTCTCTAACGAAAAATGATAGCATGGCATCTGTGGTCTTCCCCTGATGAGTATAAGAACTAATTCCACATTACTATGTCTATTGAAGTCTGAAAACCATGTGGACTACTGACAGTTATGCTACCAGTATGTAAAAACATGCATTTCTTCAAGGGATATTCATCATTAGAAATAGACAAAGATGTTTTCAAACAGCTCTTTTCTTGTGCCTCTGCATATTAATAAAAAACAAGTATCTAACACTAACTTACTCACACATCTCAAGTATATACCAGAAGCACTCTGGCCTCCTGGGGGAAGGGTGTGTGTCAAAAAACAAACAATTAATACTTTAAACATCCTAAAGTAACTTTGTGTGTTTCACAAAAGCATTTACTTAAGTGTAAGTTAATAAACTCCTGACAGCAACCAGACAAGCCCT